ATAGGGGAAGGGACCTGCTTCTGCTGCGGCAGGAGAGCCCGGACAGTGACCAGGATATTTAGTGTGACACTTTTTGCGATGGTGTCACAGCTTGTCACGTCCGCGACGCGTTCGGACGCGTCGTTAATTGCTCTTTACTGCCAGAAAACCTACAGCGTGCTACGTTCACATTCACGCGTCACTTGATTCATAAAAGTTGATCTATATCAACGAGCGGATGCAACGTTGGTTGTACATTTTTGTTAAATGTACTTGCGGTCTCGTTACCTCTATCGAATGAACTTGATATTGGGAAAATCAGAAATTCAAAACCAACGTTGCATCTTCTGTATCATGACATCCCTGCTGGTACATTTTATATGCGTGATTTCGACATGCGGAAGGCTCTATGAAGGCGGGGGATTTGCGACCACTTTCTTGCAGAGTCCAAACAGATGCAAACAACTCGCCGCGCGACCCGGAATTGCGCCTCCCCATAAGTAGGAGTCGGGGACCGGCGGCAATCCATGATAAGACGGTTTTTTCTTACGCTTGACCCAACAGAGACTAGGCTATTTCCGCGAACAAACGTCGCTGGGAAATTGATAAAATGGCAGTGCTACCGAAGCAGGAGGCTCAAGACGTCCGTATTCCAGCAGCAGGAGCGGGAACGCAGCAAAAATCGGACAAGGACGTCAAACCGACGAAAGAGCAGGCGAAACTGGCGGAGCAGGACCGTAAAAGTGCTGTCGATTCTCTTACGAAGATTCGGAGAGCGTCTGCCTGGCAGGTGCATCGTTGGCCACTAGAGAAACGGATTGCGGAGGAAAAGACGCGCATACATCTACCCCGTTCCTACCTGGCGACAGACGGAGAGGATGTGCGGGTGGTTTGGCCAGGGGAGGACTTGAATCAGGTCGTTTACGAACACTACTCGGGTTCGGTCGATCCAAAGGACGGGAACCACAAGGTAAACTACGTGGCACCAGACGGAGTATCACCTAGGAGGTATGGTTCGTGAACAATATTTATTACCATCTACTGAGACGATTTAAGGCATGAGTACCTCGGGCCCGACCCGAGAGTTGCGGGATATTTCTTCGATTTTGACGACGAGATCCACATACGATGGTGGGATGCGTATCTTCAAGACCAGTGGATGGACAGACAGAAGTGGAAGATGGAGGTCGAACTGGATGAATCAGGAAACTGGGTGGAGAAGACACGCTGAAGAGAATGTACGTCTAAATACTTTTAATTTATAGGTGATGCTAGTCCAGACCGAGAAATCCGCAGAGAATAGCGAATACATATGTACGTCCTGATTCCAGATAACTGAATGCCCGCCTACAGCTCTATGCATACTCTAAGATGACGCTCCGAGGCTCAATGTATGCTCCCAGTGGAACGTAGTCGATGTCGTATCCGAATGCCCTTGGTCCTCCGATCTGCAAACCCTTCTCCGTATCACTCCACCGTGGCGAACAGGTGATACCCAGGACCGTGACCCTCAGCCCGTAGCGGAACTCTGGCACACCAAGCGCCTTGCCGGATTGGGTATCGAGGACTGAAATCAGGTCGGGCACCATTGCGATGTACTTTTCCTCGCCCGACTCCAAGATATGCTTCGCATAGATGTTCTCGTTCTTGAAAGGGATCTTGAGGAATCCTCCAGTGGCGACCGGCTGGTACCTCGAAGGCGACGCCGAGGTATTTTCCTCCTCGTCCGTTGGCAGCTGCTGGATTGTGATCTCACCGTACGAATGCCCCTTGAACAGCCGGCGCTCGACAGAGATGATCTTCCCGCGGAACAACACACGGGCAGTACTGGGTCCGCCAATCTCGTCGACAATCTGCTCCGCCACCGTGTTGAGCGTGTTCTTCGCATGTGCGCGCGCAATGCACCGGCCGATCCGCCAGGCTAGCGACACAGTGTTGAGGACGCCGTAATTCCTTACGCGGTCCGTCGTCGTCGGGCGCGCGGCCATCCCGACGCGCGAGCCCATCTCCGCGCACGACGCGCGCAACGCCCTGTCGACGATCTCGTCGTCCGTCGTCTTGGTCATGATGATGTGCTTCCCGTCGCCCGACGCGATGGCGCAAGGCACGAGCTGACCCGTCTCATACACGCACAGCGTCGTCTGCCAGTACGTCGGGTACGCGCGACCCATCCAGTCCGCGTCGATCACGGGCCGGTCGAAGTGCTTGCTCGAACCGAGCAGCAGGGGCTGCAGTCCGTTCGCCCCACCGATCTCAAGCCCCATGACCGCGTCGAAGGAGTCGTGCCGGAGGTAGTCCATCAGCTCGCGGATGGCATCGATCGTCTCGTTTGCGGCCAGGCGCTCGACTGACACGGCGGGGGACCCCATGTGGCCGCCCCAGTAGATGTTCGCATCGGGCGACAAGTGCGAGCTGTCGATGACGCGGAGCGTGTGCCCGGCTCTGAGCTGGTCGCGGAGTTGAATGAACTCGGGGAAAGGCGATCCCCCTCCTGCGCACCCGAGGACGTAGCACCCGTCCGCTAACCAGCCTATGTCGACCTCCGAGACGTACCACTCTGGTATACCTGTTTCCTTCGATGTGACTATCCGAGGACGGTAAGCGTCGATATTCAGCGCTGCTGAAGGCACCTCTCGAACCCGGGCCTTGACCCCTTCCTGCTCCCTCTCATCAACCTCCGGCTCGTCTTCCTCGGCTATTCCGTTTACACTGTGCAGATCTCCTGCCCCACTCGCCAAATCCCCAATGGCCTTGACGATTATCCGTACTTGATTCGCGACGTACTGCAGTGGGATAGTATCGATCTCCGCAACCTCAACAGTGTTCCTATCGGCGCCGGCCTCGACAGCTCTATCGATGGCCATTGTCTTCGCCTTCTCGACGGCTTGCGCTACCGTCTGGTCGACCGTGCTCTGGATGAGATCGACGGAGCCTCCCACTTTGGATATAGCGGCTCCGACAGCGTTGGCCACATCGTGGAATGGCGGCCGAATGAGCTGGGATACGCCTTCAAGAGTATTGGGGGCGATGACTGAGCCGCCGCCTACCAGGAGAACGGGTAACGGCTCCGGCGATGTCTTCATAACGTCGATAATGCCTTCCAGCAGGGACTTAATTTTCGCTTGGGCAGCGCTCACAAGAGATGGAGGGACGTCCTTCACCAGGGAGGGATCGCCGATCTTCGCTCCAGCCGCGACGGTGATATCGGTCGCCGTCAACGTGCTTCCTCCGAAGACTTTCGCATCGGTGGTCAGGAAGTGCCCTACGGAGTCAGAGCCCACTGTGATCTGTCCCCCGGGCAGCTCGCGTACAATCGATCCTCCTCCAAGACCGATAGACTCGAGGTGGGGCATGGAGTAGTTGATCCTCACTCCCGCAACGGTCACATAGGCGGAGGCCTGCCTAGGGAATCCCGAGGGCAGCAGGACGCCAACATCCGAGGTCGTCCCGCCGATATCGACCACAATGGTGGACGTGCGTCCTCCCTTCTCTCCGGTGTCCAGTCCCCCGAGGTACGCGGCTCCCCGCATGGAATTCGTCGCGCCCGAAGAGAAGGTCCTGATCGGCAGGCGCGCAGCGGAGGCAGCGTCTACCAAAGTGCCGTCGTTCTGCGTCAAGTACAGCCCACACCGCAGGTTCAGGCGTTTCATTGCGGCGCGGAAGCCGCGGATGGTGCGCCGCGCGAATCTGAGGATGGACGCGTTCAGGATAGAGGCGTTTTCGCGCTCGAGGAAGCCGATATTGGAGATCTCGTGGGAGCAGACGATGTCGGCGCTCGGGAGCTCGCGCTTCATGATCTTTCGCACCTGGCTTTCCTGTCTGAGTGGCCATCAGATATTGTGAGAGTAAGGCGCAGAGAATTATCGACATACTGGAAGTGGTCGTCTATAGGTGCATAGACACCTGCGATGACGACGGACCTGATCCCCTTTTCCTTGATCTTCTCGCATTCCCTGATCACCTGCGCCTCGACGATGGGCGACTCCTGGGATCCGTCTATGTGCAGGCCACCGTCAACGTAACCGTGGTATCCATACATGATCTCCTTCAAGGCAGGTGGAAAGTCCGAGAACGGAGGGACCTCCCTAGTGAACGATTTTGACAATCGAATGACGGCAACTTTGGACAATCTCCGCGCATCATGCTCTACGACGGCATTGATGAAATGGGTGGTCCCGATTGTGAGGCAGGCAATACGATCGTGAGGGATCGCAGAGCGTTCAAGAACTGTGCGTACCGCAGTTTCGATGCCGTCAGTTACGTTGGGCGTTGTCGCCGTCTTGAAGTGGGCGATCACCCCGCGGTTGGACGAGGACCGGGCGCTGTCGTCGAGAATGACGGAGTCTGTGTTCGTGCCGCCCACGTCCACGCCGATGCGAATGGTCTTGGAAGCGTTGCCCATGCTGTAGCGTTAGGACGAAGCGGAGACCAGTCGAAGGCAGAATCACTTGCGGCGTCAAAACTGGGAGCACTTATAATAATAATGGTGCGAGTTGCGATCATCGTGACTGCGCGATAAGAATGCCGTGGGCGCAAATCGTCGCAGTCCCGATGAATCCGACTGTGGCTTCGGCAGATCCTGCCATCCATACGAGCTTTCGCCCGAAATGATAGCGTCTGGATCGCTTCTGAATGGTCAGCTCACTCTATTCCTCTGGCTTAGGCACTCTCCGAAAGCCGCCTCCCAATCCCTGAACCCGACGGCACACTCGAGCCAAGGGATTGTGCCTACGGCCCAAGCGTTGCTTTTGATTAATATTCAATGGTTTCCCCTGATCAGCCTTTTTATCGCGTCGATGCCTCAAGCGGGGGTTGGTAGATCGAAATAACCGCGTTATCAGTACCGATTGTTGGCGCGGAAGCAGTCAAAGCTGTGCAGGAGAAGCCTCGATGAGGCCTGGTGATTCTGGGTCTAATAACGGGTAGGCGCCTATCTGTTGAGGTCGCCATGTCTTATCGCTCTACGGCCTGTCGAAGGGTCGTATATTAACTCGTCATGGCGTATATCTTGTTCCTCCCCGGTGTCGCTGGACTTGTCGGTCACCTGTGTCCTTTTCCTAAGTAAGTCCGAATCCCTCTTCGTTGTGTAACCCGCTCTGATTCATGGACTAGATCGCCTAGTGAGAGTACGACATGGAATCAGGGCTCCGATTTCTGCAGGTCCACTCTAGTGGCGACGAAACGTCGGTGTGGATAAACGACGATATACGACCACTCCCCCCGTCTCGTCGTACGTGGGACAAGCTCGCCTTCATATCCTTCTGGGCGATCAATCAGATAGCCCTCAGCAACTGGCAAACTGGCTCTTCGTTGGTCGCCGTCGGGTTGTCAGTATGGCAGACCATGATCGCGGTCATTGTGGCGAAGATCATTATTTCTCTGGTGGCGATCTATAACGGCTATGTCGGAGCGGAATGGCACATAGGCTTCCCCGTCGTCTCGCGCTATGTCTGGGGCGTGTACGGCTCGTACTTGTCTCTGTTGCAGCGTATTCTACTCTCGCTCGTATGGTTCTCCGTGCAGTCCTGGACGGGAGGCCTTTGCATCACCGCTATCATCTCCTCCATCTTCCCATCTTTCCAGCACATGGGCAATACGATGCCGGCGTCCACTCATATGACGACCAAGCAGTTCGTGGGCTGGGTCGTGTACAATGTCGTGACTGTGCCGATGCTGTACATCCCCCCGGAGAAGACCAAACGCCTCTTCATCGTCATGAACGTCATTTCCTTCTTCACGCTCATCTCAATGATGATATGGGCCCTCTCGCAAGCCCACGGCGGCGGACCCCTCCTCTCCCAGCCCGCTGCTGTGTCCTCCAGCTCAGAGCTTGGGTGGGCGATCGTCTCTGGAATTACGACCGTCATTGGCTCCATCGCTGTCGGCCTGACGAACCAGCCCGATTACTCGCGCTTTGCCCGCAAGCCCGGCGACCAAATCTTCGGGCAGTGGTTCAGCATCATTTTTTTCGGTACGATTATGCCGCTGTTCGGGTGTCTCACTTCTTCCGCCTCCGTCGCCATCTACGGTGAGGCGCTCTGGAACCCGCCGGACATCGTGCTCAAGTGGCTCGACACGGACTACACCGCGAAGTCGCGCGCTGCCGCATTCTTCGCCGGCGTCGGGCTCGTCGTGTGCCAGCTCGCGATCAACACGATCGACAACGCGTTCTCCGCGGGGATGGACCTCGCGGGGCTGTTCCCCAAGTACATCAACATCCGCCGCGGGGCGTACATCGGGCTCGTGCTGAGCATCATCATGCAGCCGTGGCAGCTGCTCTCCTCCGCGGGCACGTTCATCTCCGTGCTCTCCGCGTACTCGGTGTTCCTCGGCCCGATGGTGGGCATGCAGGTGTGCGACTACTGGCTCGTGCGCGGCCGGAAGATCAAGCTGTCGGACTTGTACTCTTCGAGTCCCGAGGGGATATACTACTACTCCCGCGGGTGGAATTGGCGCGCGTTCGCCGCGTGGATTGTTGGGTGGGCATCGCAGATCCCGGGGTTCGTGAACGCTGTGAACCCGGATATCAAGGTGCCCGTCGGGAGCCAGCACTTGTACTACCTGGCGTTCCCCGCAGGGTTTTGCATCAGCTTCTTGGTGTTCTACGCGCTGAACAGGCTCGCCCCGCCTGCCGGCCTTGGCGAGGTCGACGACGTGGACTACTTTGGCACGTTTGACGAGGAAGAGGCGGATAAGATGGGGATTAGGCCCGCTGAGGACTCGGACAGCTCGGGCGCGGACGTGGAGGTGGATGAAAAGAGGCTTGACTTGGAACGGACGGTTTCGGTCGACAAATTGTAGTTCAGTACCTTCAGATTATAGACCCTTGAATTACGATTGCAGGGATGGGTATGTACATACTGTCATCCTGTCATGATCCAGCGATGACTCGACGTAATCCAGATATGTTATGGCCTCCAGGCTCCGTAGATGCCTCGATGAGGTTCAAGCAAGATATCTGACAGCGATATACTATTGGTACACTTATCAGTAGCAAGATACTTTAGTACAAATATAGCAAAGACGGAATACGTTATAGGTGTAGTAAAGTATGTCCGGCGTGTATGAGGTTCGTCACTAGGAAATCCGTATGTCATAACGAGTCGTGGCGTTTAGGCGCTTATACGTTCTCTCGCCCGTCGGCTCTGAAGCCGCCAATGAAGTCGAAGTTGTCCTGCGCAACCGGTTATCTATGAAGTAAAAATAGGAGTGGACGAGCTTACCTTCTGTCTACCGTTTCGACCATGAGTGGGAGCAGGGGCAGCTGGCGGAGGGCCAGCAGGCTGGTTTGAAGGGCAATCAGTAATGGATTTATGGGGAAGAGAAAAACATATCACTCACGGGCTGGTACTGATTCTGATGTCCATCCGCACCGTTCTGCGGCGGTATACCCGCAGGCTGAGATGCACGGCATTAGGAAAAATGTATCCTTCAACAGCGACTCCGACGTACCGGGTCATGCTTGGTGTATTGAGGAGGTGGGGGATTCTGCGGGGGAACAGCTGCATTGTCACGTCCCATCATTGGACCATTCGTTCCATGCGGGGGCTGATATCCAGCTCCATAACCAGGACCGCTGGGGTACGTACTCATCGGCGGAGCCGGTCCCGCTGGAGGGACATAAGCAGTGTTGTTCCTGAGACGCCTTCTCCTCCGGAGCATGAGAAGGCAGAGGAGAAGGCATATTAACACGAACGCGATGATACCTAAATTGGGGATCAGTGAGAAGCGGAAATTCATGCGTTCATAGATAGACGCACCGACGACGATACCAGCGATTGCACCCCCGAGTAGACCACGTCGTCTACATACATAACGGTAGCCGTTGTAGTAACAGGTCGTTCTGCACGAGGCGAACGGCAGCGTCGACAGTACTAGCGCTGCGCTGAACAGGTGCGTGGATTTGACGGTCATGGTGGTGGTGGGGGAAGATTAAGGAATGAAATGGCGATACTTAAGTAAAAGTACAAGCTGGGCATAGTGGGGCCGGGTACATACCGAGGTAAAGTGACGACATCCGGCGGGGGCAACTTGAAGGAAGGGGAATTCTGAGTCTGAAAGGAGTGGCGGAAGAGGCCACGTGGCGAATGCATGGCCACAGTTGCCTAACAAAGTAGAAACGTGCCTCAGTTCGTCAAAGTGCAATTCCGCGGGCTACAAGAAATATATTCGCTACATAAAGGTATGGGTTAGGTCGCTTCTGAATCAGCGGTTACATTCATGACATGCGGGGGTGTCCATGCAAAATGTAAACATGATGAGCGGTGGAAGTGCCGCTAGTGCCGCGCTTGGCATGATCAATGCTGCAACCAGGTTATCCAGCGTCAACCAGATATACAGCCCGATGTGAACAAATGCACAAATCCACCCTCCCATAAAACAGAGCACGCAGTGGCGGAGGAGCATATCCCAGCCCCGGGCGATACCAAACCCTCGCAAAAGGTAGCTTTCCCCGTCTCCTTCTCTTAGACGCCGATTAAGCCCTGATATGTATTCCTGCTGATTCGTGAAGACCTTCCGTGGATAGCCATGACCACACGAAGAATATATCTTTCGTGCAGCCACGGGTAACGACGCTGCCGCTATAAGCAACAAAATAGAGGACAGTGTCGCGCCCATGTTGAGGAAGATGCTTGTGTATCCGAAGTAATATACGGCCTTCTCGACTTTTTGGGATCTTATCTGACCATTCGTCGATGTTATATAGCCCAGCAAAGTGGCCTCGACACTGGAAAACAGCGCTGTCTAGTCCAAAGTACTTCACTCGAGACATATTGCGGGGAGGTGAGGAGGCAACTCACGACTACAGCTATCGCCTGCATTCGGGATGTCCAGGACTCTTTGGCATCCTTGACCGCCTCAGGAAGCTTATCTACGATTTCTATGTGAGTGAATTCTGTGAGCATTCATCCTGAACATACACTCAAGAGGCGTCAGCTCCTTCTCCGGCTCGTCTATTGGGAAAGTGTAGAACGGGGAAGACATTGGTCCACATTGCACAGCAAGTGTAGACGCCTGTTAAATACGCCAGCCGCATTGTATCACTCTCACGGTGTTAATAAGTCACTGAGCAATCTCTAGTAAGCGCCCGATTGCACAGAAAATACTTGTACAGCAACTCTCGACGCTAACGCTGACGAAGTCACATCCGGTATCATGTCTCTAATGCGTTCTGTGTTTTATTGGGAGACCCTCGAATGGCTGTCGCCTGGTCCGTCAGGAGCCGGAAGCGAAGGTGCCGGTTCCGCTCGTCATCGCGGAACAACTCTTTGTAGTCCTCCACCATCCGCGCAAGGAGCGTCAGACAATCTTGTTCCCAAGTTGAGAAACGACGCCGTCCATTATCTTCAGTTCGCCGCCATTGTGCCTCGCGGAGACCCTGATTGCGGAGAAATCTCTCCGTTCTCGCCTTGATGAATTCCAGTAACCTCCTTTCTCGACCGCGCTGGCCGTTTCGGAAGTCCTCTTCCCTGTCATTTTCGCTCATCTGGAACTCTGACGCCCTGCGTCTGTGGGCTTCAGAGAAGGTATCAGCTTGCGATGCCTCTTGCGCTCGCAATTGGCTCTTCCTGGACTCCTGCTTTTGACTGAACACATGTTGGCGGCTCGCTTCTCTGATCGCGAACTCTTGCTGGCGCTTCCGTATCCCGTTCTCGAACGTCTCCTTCTTCTTGTTCTGAGATTGCTGAAAGACGCTCGTTCGGCGTCTTTCCTGGTTCGATCTCTTCTGGATGTAGCAGAGGCCATTGAGCGGCTAGTTACGTCGCAAGCACTCAAACTCACCTTTCTGTCACTGTAGTCGCCTGGCGTAGGTAAGGGACAGGTAATGTACGTTGGTGCGGTTATATTGCGTATGCCCTGTAAAGCGCTGCATTAGCATATGACAGCATTTAGAGCAGCTGTGTACTGCACGTACCACGCCCGAGGCTGGTTGGGGTTGTATTACAATTGGTTGACTTGACGGGGCGCTTATCAGGCACGGGGGTGCCGGAAAGCTACATTCTGAGCTTTCATCTCTCGGGTCCGCTCCCATTTCCCCCAGTCCTATACCTGCTTCGAGGTCTTCACAGCCGACTGACGCTCTGCGGATATACCCCACCAATGGAGCATCTTCATCCCTTGACAGTTCTCGTGTGATATGCCGATTGAAGACATCCATGCGATGCTGCAACTCCTCGAATGCACTGGCCTCCTTGTCCCGCATTTCCCGTAACCACCCTTTTTGGCATCTGATGACATCCTCCACGGTAGCTTGAGTCATTCTCATCGAGTCTTCCTGCGCGTTGATCAAAGTGACATATCGCGCGTCAATCTGAGTCGTCAGCGTCTCAAATGTGTACGTCCACCTGGAGATGGCGTCGTCGAAGCGCTCGTCCCAGACGCTATCCGTCGCGCTCCGCATTTCCTGCCGCTGCCGGAATAAATTGTCGTATGTCTCCATTTCTTGCGTAAATTTCCGCCCTGCTTCGGACATGCTCGTATTGAATAGATCGTCCCTCTTGTGTTCCGCTCCATCGCGCTCCGCTTCTGCCGCTGCCCATCGCTGTTCCCTCCGTTGCTCGTTCTGGTTGAAATGATATTCGCGCTGTGCTTGATTGGTCTTGAATATCTCCTCGCACAACAGCGACTGACCAGCCTGTCCGCAGTCAAGGCGTATCTTCTCTTCCGAAGGGCCGTTTTCTTTACCCAGAGGGTAGCCGCAGACGACCTGCCCCTGGGGTGGAAGTGGTGGTATTATGGGGATCGGAACCGGATCATTCAAGCTGCCCCAGCTTGCACGTTTACTTTCTGTACTTCCACAGTTCCACCCGGGCCCGCTCGACGTTTCCGGGACGAGGACCGTAATAGGCGCAGGAGATGCAACGCCCTGGTTACTCCAGCTTCTATGGTGGCGTTTGAAGTCCTCCAGATTCCGAGGAGTTCCATCGGGAATTCTGGGTACAGGTGTATGATCGACTTCAGATGAGTTGTATGGGTGAAGGAGTGTATCCTCGGGGTACATGTTGCTCGCTTGCGTTGGTCCAGAATCCTGGGCGGCACGGTCATCGACCTATGCGCTCGCGTGAGGGAGCGCTGCCACAGGTCCGAGCTGGTGTTACTGACCGGCTTCTCCCCCGGCTCTGCACGTTCCGCACTTTCCGCACTTTCCGCCGCATCTATTCTCTCCTTCTGCAGTGCTTCGAACTCGAGATGGAAGGCTTCCACCCAAGGTTTGAGGAGAGTGTCGAATTGCTCTTCGAAACGATCCTTCAGTGAAGCGCAAACTGCTTCCCGGTATCGGCGTGCCTGCTCCAAGAGAGGTTTGCGGCACTCAATGAAGCTGGACGACTGCTCCTCCTGCATCTTCCGTTCGTACAGGATCATTTCTCCGGCAGATCTCATCTCTTCATCGAATGCGATTTTTCTTGCAGATAGTTTGCTCTCGAACAGGTGTTCTTGGGCTTCTTGGGCTTCTTCAAAGACCCTCGCACGAGCCTCCTTCGCGCTTGCTCGTGAGGCATCGATGCTCGCACAGAGCTCTCTGAAATCCTCCGCACGCAATCTCTCACCTGCATCGCTCTTGATCTCCAGCTGTAACGCTTCGTAATCTTGCCGCCAGAGTATATACTGGAAGGCCTCTTCACGCTCACGCTCGGAGTTGAGGGACTTTTCTTCCAGACCGTAATTGTCTGAGCCTGGGCTACGGCGGAATAGCCTGAGTGACATGAACCTTCTGCTTCATTTTCAGTACTGCTTCGAAGTGCAGGCAACATGTACGACACACCTCGCCATCCGATCTTAATGTGACTGCTGAGCCGTCGCGGTGGGCGATAGAGGCCAACACCACTGCTGCTCGCTTCTTTCGATCACTATCTACTTGATCAATTGATGCTGCGCATCTAACCTGTTGCTAGACCACAACAAGGTTTCGTTCTAGGCATCAATTGCATTGTGCTGTTCAATGTTCTCATCATCAGCGCGCAGACTGCCGTAAATCCTCCGACGCACATGCCAGATTGCTCTACCACCCGAAATACTAGCCTTGACTGAAGCGCTCTACTCAAGTGGCTATGCCTCCGGGCGCATGGATCGACCAAGCATAGGCACTCCTGTTTTTGAAGATTATGATAATTGGAATTGTGGCAAAAGCGCGTGAAGACTGTAAGTCACGTGAACTGTAGTGCAGATCACCTGACCGCGTCGCGTGTTGGAAGACTGATCAGAGCCAGGCGCGTCGTGGTGATGATGATGTCACAGTGACAGCCTTGGTGGCGCAGAATGGCCTCGCAAATGACGACTCACGGTGGGGATCGGCTCTGGTTGGGGTACATAAAGGCCATCCCTCTCGATTATTACCTCCAGTTTACCAGCCATCCTCCATTGTTTCGTCAAATCCATCCTTGAACACCTAAAATATTCACAGTGAGTTCTTACTAAAATGTTGCGCGAAAATAAGTCGATGTATACTGACGTACTGCATAATCGCAGATGTCGCAATCTGAATACACGAACCCGACCGTTGAGTACGAGGAGGCCCAGAGGATCCAGCGACCGGCTCAGTCGAGTTCGGCAGAGGAGGCCGAGGCAGGGCAGAAGGTAGGCATCATTAGCTGACTGCTATAGAGGAGTGGTTACTGACATTTGGTACCGCAGCTCGTTCCCCGTCCCGAAGATGTGACGTCATTCGAAACCGAAGTTCAACCCGATCCCTCGATTGGCACTGGCCGGTCGAGTGGGGGCAAGGGTCAAGGGGCCCACGGCAACCAGGGGAGACCTGGACGAATGATCGACGAGAGGGGCGAGCGGAAGTTGGAATCGAAGATCTCGGGCGGCATGGCTGACCAGCGATGAAGAAATAAAGTAGATCATGGGGAACATTGTACGATGATTGAAATGGCAGAATGAGTTAACGTGCGCGCAATGGCATCGGGTCGCCTGTGGAGGAAGACATAACCCCGAAATCATTTAATCGACGACAAACATCACTAGAGATAGATTAGCTGCTCGTCCCGCCTTGTGTTTCGTCGGCTGCGTCCCTCCTTTCTCCACTCCTCCATCTATTTATTTCTGTTCTTATCGTCCGTTCTGCCGTCTATGTTTCCTCATGCTTGCTTTCGTGTTTGCTGCACAATTTATTGCTTTCTCTGCCTCCTTCCGTATGAGCTCATATGACCACACCTAGATCTTTCCCCTCTCCCGTCTCTTGCTCTGTGATACCTATAGAATAGCAGTCGCCTGCTCGCCTCTTGGTCGTGTCCGTGCATAGTCGCCATATTCCCTTTTCGCGAATCCCCAATACCTCTCTTCTTTACAGTGCTTTGCATAAAAGTCCGGAAACTGCGTTTCGCGCGTTTCTGTTTGTCCCAGCCAAACAATACCTTATAGGGTAACACCTGACCGAGGGCGCGACGGTCCTCGAGTCAGCCTATATCACTCCTGGGACACAAATGCCCGTCTCAAGGCTGAATAACGTTCAGATCTGTATCTCTTCAGGATATCGAGCACGCAGAGGTCAAAATCCCCCAAGAACGACCCTCATACATGGATGTCGAAGCGTCCCGCCAACCAGTCAACAGCCCGCGCTACGGTGATCGACTACCCCATATAGGTTTGTTTGGCTGGCACAAACAACATTTCGCGAATCGCGGTTTCCGGACTTTTATGCAAAGCACTGTACCTCGATTGTAATTTTCTATATCATGCCACGTTGCGACGCTGATGTCCTTCCTAGACTTTTTTTACTTGTATTGAACATCATTCCCGTGACTATGTACATATCTCGCATACATATCCTCGTCCATCACAGTAATGGCAAACTTCAACGCAAGCCAATCCGTCGTATATCAAG